ACATATGTTGCTCGTTACATATACAATATGTGTATGTATAGTACAAGTGGCAACGTGTGAAGGATAAGAGAATTTAAAAGTGAAAGAACGAATGAACTAACGAACGTACGCATGTGCGTTATCACGTATCTTTGTAGCAATGTTATCGTGATCGAATTGTCGATGAAGAAAAAGTCTCTGTGTAAGGGGAATGATATACCAAGGTAGATAGACAGGGTGAAGTAAAAATTGTCTCGTTACCGATTACTCATCGATTACACGAGCGTGAGCGGTAACGATGCGACAGCGATAATGTAAAGTGAATGTAATCGAGTTAACGGATAGGGCAGACATGACACGGCGGTAGTTCTTCTTGTATGGTGTAACAGTACAACGAGACAATGAAATATTCGTCCATGTTGCTAGTAAGAAAGCGTTCAGAACCATGAACCGCAGAAACATACTAACGATTATACATATATCGCACTGTATTTTATAGACAGATAATAAATAAAGAGAACCTCTTACGCCCTGAAAATATTGTATCTATCTAATTACTTATGTACATTCGTAAACGGCAGGGATTCAACAGGGAGTGAACGAGAAAACGTTCAACAGCAAGGGGCGATTGGATTAAAAAATGAAAAAGTTCACTCGTCGCGTAGTATGCATACATAAGTACGTATGCATGTATGTACTTACCAAACTGTAACGCGTTCCTTTCCCTCCGGCGTGTACGTACATACCTACATAAGTACTTACTTACGAAATCTCAAAGTTCTTGGCCGTACTGCCCAAATTGTTACACTTTGCCAATATCGTAACAGTTACGACCAGCGATTCCGTTCCCGTTCACTTTTTCTCCCTTAATTCTTTTTATCCGAAAGTTTGTAAGTTCTAACTGTTGAAAAGCTTCACGAATTTCTCCTTTGATTATCTATGTACGTATGTCTCTGTTCTCCATGTTATCGAGAATTCTACAGAAGGAGGTTTAGCGGAAGCTTGGCTAGACGATAAGAACGAGCTAGGGAAATCACAATGGTTAACGATGTTAACCGGCGCGCCACGTTCATTCTGTACTCCTTTACACCTGCTGACCGACTGGCTGAACCGTAATCCTATAGTATGCTTGGATAGCGAGACATATCGGTTGCAATTTGAGATATATGTATCCCTCTGTCCTTTGCTTTACCGATCGTCGGTGTACTTTTACACGTTGATGTTGCAACAGACAATTAACCCTGTTGTTCCTAACCTAACCCAACATAACATATGTAAATGGTTAGTAGCCATTTTTCACGGAGCCATTTTTCATACACCCTCCTCGCTTCGACGGCCTCCGGACAATGGAAAAGTTTCACCGGGAAAATCTCAATGTAAGGGCAAACTGGTGCTGGTCTGGTTTAACGATATCGAATGTTCTCTAGCTTTACATACGAGTAAGTATGTGACGCAACATCGGCTCGTTATGAACCTTCTGTGCAATACACTTGTGCCTTTGGTCAACGGACACTCGATACCGAGTTTTCGGGGAAAAAATGTTTCAAGTTATCTCTCTACCTAGGCAGGTTTACGAGGGCTCGCATATTGTATAAATAGACTGTCAGATTTGCCAGATGCATTCAATTCGTTCGTTGCTTCTGAACGGTGAGGAAAGCGGCTACTTCCAATACCATCATGTTTAGAGTAAGTAAAAGCGCGGTTTGATTTTCGTTCAGAGAGAGAGAGAGAGAGAGACAGAAAATTGAAATTTGTTTTTCTGCAGTATTTGGTGATCTGCGGTTGCTTGCTGGCGGTCGGACAAGCTGGCGTGATCGGCGGTGGTTTGCTCGCAGCAACCGCGCCTGCGGCGCTCGCGGTACAACCAGCAGCAGCAACCATTCCTCTGTCTGCAGCGACGGTCGCGGTACCGACTATCGCGACATCCAGCTCCAATGTGATACGGGGTATCGGTAACTTAGGTGCCATATCAGCCTACTCGAAGAGCATAGATACACCATTCAGTAGCGTCAGGAAAGCGGACGTGCGCGTTAACAATCCTGGAATCTTGACGGCGACCGCTGTGCCCGCCCCGGTACTTGCGCTCGCAAATACCGCTGTTGCAGGTACCTGATTGCGGGGTGCCAATCTACTCTAATATGTACCCATAGCTCACTCTACATTTACCGAACGTGTCGCGAGACATCCAGAGGAAACCGGCCGCTTCCTTTATTACGCCTTACAATCGATAGTCCACGATAGTACCAAGATAGTCCGCTTTTCTCATGTTCCTCCGTTTCTCCTTTTCTCTACTCTTAACTTGTTTAACGGGCAAGCGTGTCAAAGCTCAAGCTGAAAATCGACCTCCTCCTCCTACTTCTCCTTCTTTCACTTCGATCCCAATCGAATGAAACGTACAATGCTCGATTCACGGCTATCTTGTGCCACGGTTTCAGCCCCAATCGCTACCGCCGCTGTTGCCGCACCTACGGCACTTCTCGCACCTGGACTGACCACCGCGATCGCAGCTGGACCAGCTATCACCACCGGCATAGCGGCCGCTCCTCTAGGACTCAATGGTTTGGCCTTGAACGGCATAGGAGCCGTCAAGGTTCTCTAAGGTCCATACTCCAACTACAATAACATCACGGGGAGCGACGGAGCGATTTTTCGCCGCTGTCAACAATTATGATGCGTTCGAACATTCGTATCGATGGCGAATCGTTGTTACAACCCAAACGATCTACTTGTCACAGAATGTAATAATCGAATATCAAATAAACGTACAATCGTTACTGTACACAGAGTCACCGATTCGATACACAACCTCCTCCCTCCTTCTTTCAATCACGTTCCCTATTTCGAGAGGAAGAACAACGCAACAGGGAAGAAGAAAACTGCTTACGCTCACAACGTATTATGTAATATGTATACGTCAATGTATTATCGAATAAATAGAAAGTATCAAATACAAATGTAGCATGACGATCGGGCACAGTTGTACGGTTGCAAGTTGAGAAGGCATCTCAAGAGGCATGGACAGGAGCGATTTTACCAAGAGTAGGAGACACCGATAGGGCTGCTGTAGGCCATGTGCGAAACAGCCACCGCCGGAGAGTAAGCGACGCCAAGAAGCGGGCTCGGATGCTCGGCAGCGATCGCGGTTGCCAGGGGTGCTGCTGCGTGCGTCGCTGCATACGCCAATGGAGCAGCATGCGCGTAAATTCCTGGGTTTGTTACGCGAATGTCGGATTTGCTGCTGCTCGAAAACGGAGTGGAAATTGTTTTCGATTGGGTCGCGATCTGCGCCAGATTTCCTGTGCTGCGGAGTATGTTGTCCGACGTGGACGTTAAAGCTGCTGTTTGTAAAGTATATTCGCCAGCAACGGTTGCCGGCGCCAAGTAACCGGCGTTGCTCATTGCCAGAGCGCAAGCGAGAATCACGATCTGAAAGGACAACCGATCAAATTCTTAGCAATCGTTCCTCCTTTCTTTCTTCTTCTTTCACTCTTATATACTATACATACATATGTATGTATATCTACTTTGTTGTACGGAATACCGTACAACGTAGCGTTGTAACTGGGTGTGCTTACCTTCGAAAACATTGCGAGTCAGTCGAATGGAGGATTCGGGACAAGAGTCCAGTTGTTCACAATCTACTAAAGCAAGTGTGTGCTGATCGTTTCGTAGCCGAAATCTTATATAGTCCGTACACAGCTATGTGAACGAGATAGAAACTATGGCATGGACCAACCGGAATCAGGTGGGGTGCAAGGGCGTGTTTCGAACGGGTACCGAAAAAACTTTCGCCATAAGAATACACGTAATCGTTCGTATGATTTCCTCTGCCACGCCCGATCCTCCTTTTTTTTTTTCTTCTTCCACCAATATCGCCTTCACTTCGCGGTCCCCTCCGACCTTGGACTAAAAATCCAAAACCGTCGTCGACCGGTTACTGTCGCACAAAAGAAACGACAGTCGTACATTACTCTATCCACTTACCCTTTTCCCATACTCCTTGCTCTACTTACTACGATACTCATGTACGATAACCAACCGTTCAAACAGTTACTGTTGTTCCCGCTTTCCAAACACGTTGCCGATCGCTTCGCACGCCAAACCAATGCTTTTTCTATCTCTTAACTTTACATGCGACAAATCGTCTTACAGTTAAACTATTCATCTGTAATTCCCATCTTCTTTCTTTCTTTCCTTCCTTTCATTTCTCTACTTACATTCCAAACGAAAAAAACACTTTTTCTTCACTTTCGGGCAAACTACATACCATATACAGACCATACGCTACATTTATCAGACTGTCTTTTAACGCTTATTAATTCCCACGTTCAAATACACACCCAAATTTCTGAATCCATTTACTTCCATTTTTATGCATTACTACTTTTATTTCACATTCTTTTACTCTTTTATACCAAACTATCTTTCCTTCCACATAAAATCAGTTCACAAATCTTTCCCGCCTCTTTTTCTATTTTCATCGAACGCTGCTGTTCCTGCATTGCCTGTAATGCTGTCAAACGTCCTCTATACGAGCTTTCGTCAAACTCGTCAACTACCAGCACCTGCTGGCTAAAATCATTTCAAATTCTTCGTTCTTCGTCAATTGACGAGCGAGAAGGAAACATAAATCTGCGTAGCAAAACGTATAAATAAAAGTAAAATATGGCCCAACCCTTTGAAAATTTACGGGAACTTGGAAATCAATCGAAATTGCGCGCATTTGTTCAAGATTCAAGTGTGGAAGAGGTTGTGTACTGCAAACTTTTTAGTTTATTCATTATGTAAATCTAGTATTCAAAGTAAATGATTTTATCCGTTAAAAGAATAATTTTTATAGCTCGTACGAATAGTACGCAACAGTATTTGCAAGCCGGATGCTGTAAAAATATTAGACGATCTTTTGCAAGCATTTTCCGATTCTGATCACGTCTGTCAACAAAAACGACGTAAACTGATCGAATCTACGATAAACAGTTTGGAAAAAGCTAAGATATCTACGGGACAGGCAAACGCAATCGTTAATCGGATAATTTCTGATCTTCCGAGATATTCCAAAGAACATCTTGTTAAACTTGTTGATTTTTGCCTTACTAATATTCATCGTGACGATCATGAGTTACATAGGTATGGTACTTTTTATTTTGCCACCGGTAATTCCTCACCTCACAGTTTCTTTCTTGCAGTTGGAAAGATTTATTACCTGTGTTACTTGAAGCACTGGAAAATGAAAAATATGTCCTCTATGCAGATGCCCAAGTTTCAGGAACTGAATATAAATCGTTAATTGTTAAAGCTATATGTAATTGTCCATGGGACGTTAATCTCTTACCATCTATGGCAAAAATGTTTGGGTAAATGGTTTTCTATGCTTAAGTCGTTCGGTGCCACAAAGTTGGGGATATTATTTGTTCAAGTTTTATCTGATTTTTTCTATACCAAGGGATATCACTTTAAACAAGCTGGATCACAATCAACTCGTCCAAACGTTGTGTTCTAATCTCCCACGTTTACCTTTGGATAGAGTACCTTCTTTTGTCTATCAAACGTTAAAATTATGCAAAGATCGAGATAATCGGAAACTTTTCAGTGCCTTGTCTAAATATTTCCACTGTTACTATTCCAAAGCAACTTCTCTAGATGATAAGGATAGTAGCATTGAAGACATTGGTATGTATATGCAACTATCCAACCAACTACTCTTTTACATTCCTATTTCTTTTTATCCTATTTCTTCTACAGGTACGCTAAATATAAAAGAGGTACAAGATATTGAAAGCACCGTTCTCTATCATGTATATCAAGCTGCTCAGCTAAATCATGAAAATATGAGAGATTTTATTCGTTTTCTTAAACATGTGTCGTATGCTTCCGAGTATATGTTGCAACCGTTTATGCTCGCTGTATTAATGTCGGTTTCCAGCATATACGAAGATCAGGTAATCGAGGTTTTACCATGTCGCAACATCCTTTCATTTCGTTATTCTTTCCATGGAAAACATATTTTCATTCGCAGATCTTTGAGGCATTGAGGATGGCTATTGTTAACAGTAATTCGGAGAAAGGAAAACAGCAGACTAGTGCATGGTTGAGACAACTTTTACCTTCTTCCTGCAATATAATTCGGATTATTCGACAAGTCATTGATAGCAGGTCGATTCGTTCCATTTTATTGCATCTATTCCTTTTGCGCTATTAGGCTATTACGCGTTACGCTAATCGTCGAATCATCTTACAGCAATAAAGACCGTCACTTAGTTCTGAAAGGGCTCACGAGTCTAGCTTTCATGTTAATGAGTGCCGATCAAAAATTAAAAGGTAATACAACTACAGCTATGTGGTGTACGGGCTCCGAAATAGTTCGAGAAGTAATTAAGAAACGTCATGAAACAGTTCCAATTGTATTACAAGAATTGATTAATAAAATAGTAGCAGGAGGAATGACAACTACTCATTATACAGGTAACACAAACTGTATAATAATAATAATCATCCTATCTTACAATTATATATAATGCTACTCATTTATCCTTTACTTCTCTAAAAAATCTTTATAGATTGTTTAAAGTATATGTGTCGTGAATTATCAATGATCGTTTTGGATCATCAAGTCTGGATTATGACCCTTCTCGAGCGATTGCTATTTTTCCCCAGTATAGTTGCTAATCAAGTTTTGTTCGCAATTTTTCCCTTGATGCACGTTTCATCCAACATCAGAGAAAATCTCCTGTTGACTTTGAGAAAAGCTCTTTACAGGAAAGGAATATCGAAACGACAGATGGCTGTCACCGGGTTTCTTGAAATGTTAAAATACTCGAAAATGCATTCTCTGGCCAGTTTCAGACTCAGTCAACGTTGCAACTCCTCAGAGCATGCGATAAGCTCTAGTTCGAGGTCAACGTTAACACAGGTATATACACGATATACCATTTCATAACAATACACTAATTTTTAACGTACAATTTAGGTCACTTTAGAGTATAATTCGCAACGTGAAAAATCGATTACGCGATTAGAACGCGATAAAACTTTGTGTTACGAGATATTGGATATATTAAAAAAGAGCTTTACTTATGAGTTTCAAGTCAGATTACATTTGTACGAAGGTGAGTATGCCTTTATCTTTTCTTTTCTTTTCTCATGGAACGGCCAACAGTTAAATCCTGATATTCCATCATGCTTTTCCTCTTTCAAATTCATATTATTTCGTTTATAGGTCTACACGATACTATCAGCAAAAATTCTGAAATAACGGAAATCCTTCTAGATATGCTTCTTTCACATTTCAATCTTTATTTTCATACAGACGATGATATCTTACCACCTGTGAGATTCGAATTATGTACGGATATTCGTGGAACGGAGATAGTTTTACAAGAACCTATCGCTCAGTTGATATTTACATTACAAAAAATATATATTGATACCATTCCGCGGAACTCAAATACTTTCGAAACATTATACAGTATTTTAGAGTCGTTGTGTAGAAGAATGCCAGCTACAGATTTCGAGCATTTCAATCTGGTATTTAACACTTTAAATGAGTCGATGAAAAATACTCAAAAGAAAAAACCAAAACAAGTCCATCATTTTAGGACCATGGCACTGATCTACTTCATGGGGACTTTCCAAAATCTCATATCAAGTTAAAACATCTTGGTATGGCTATCGAGGTTTACGAAGCTTTAATAGCGTTTCAAATTGGCAAATGCTCGAAAGGAAATGAAGAAAGTTCTTATAAGATTAACGATTTATTTAAAGGATATACACGATTCACAAATTTTATTAAAATGGTAAAGTTTGTGTTCAATACGATTTTTCTCTATCTAATTTTATGTTATTTTCGTGTTAAATGTTAACACATTTCTCATGAAATTTTACTAGCAATCTACAAAAGTGAAAAAAATCGATAGTGGCAATTCTAAAAAGGACGGAAATTTAAATAATACAACCAAAAAGATCGTCAAATCAAACAGTGTGAAATTACCAAACACTATTATGAATTTGGACATTATAAGTCAAAGCTTGACGCTTTTATATTCGTGAGTATAACGGTAGTTTTGCAAGTATCGTCGTTACTATAAGAAATCGAATTTTTATTCACAAGTAGACAGTCTTCTTCATCTCAAAATCGGACTATGCTTCGTGAAAATCACAACTTTTGCCGTTACATATTACAAACAAGTGAACAACTTCTACAACGCGCCAGATCACACAGTACCGATGTTCCTGATATGCGAAACATTCGGTACATAAGCACGTACATTGAGGTAGGAAGGTAAGTTCCAGAAAGCAGAAAAACATGCATTCAACTTTTCACATACACCGCGTGTCTGTCTACTTGCTATTAACGATGGAAAAATTTTTGTTACATAGGTTGCTTTATAAATATTTCGTATTAAATCTAAACGATGCACTTGCAAACGATGAACAAGTAACTATACTGGCTTTGCAATGTTTCAAAGAAATTTCTTCTTGTATGTGTACATTATTCTCGTCGGAATTGCCGAGGTTTCTCAATGCTATTCGTACGTACTTACACATCGACAATTTATCACATTATTTTAACAATCTTCATTTCATAATGTTCCTCTTTTTTCATGTCCAAGTGCAAACTGAGAATGATTCAATATCGGTGGATATCAATTCCCAATTGCAAGAAATTATTTTTTCATTAAAGCCTTCTTTAATGGCATCGCTGGTTGAGGAGACAGACGACAATGAGAGAAAAAAAATACCGTTTCTCTTGTTACAGATAATGGAACAATTTGCATATAAAATTAATTTTGAAACTTATAATCCTGAGAAGGTTTGTACGAAATATCTCGTGAAAATATTTTCTTCCTTACGCAGTAAAGTAAGTTTATTTCCTGCAAAAGATTCTCAAGTGTACCAGAAAAATGATTCAAACGGAAAATATTCAAAGTCCTATCGTTCCTGCGTTAATACAGTTTTTCCTAAATTTGGAAGAACACACTCGAGAATACGGAGAAACGTTGAACGAGATATGTCTGGAGCTATGCGAAAAAGTTGGAAGCATCGATGGTGTAAGAGCGGTGAATTTTGCCTCGAAATATTCAAAACTTTTATCGTTTTTAAAGTTGATTGTTTTCTTTATCTAAACATAGACTGAAATAGCATCAAATCAGCAGTATAAAGTTATACGCGAAGATACCGTTTTACAAATTTATAACGTGTTGAACGGTCACATAAAAGAAAAACTGAATAACACTTGTTGGTTGTTGATGCGATTAAAGGCGGAAGACACCATATCTCGAACATCTGGAACAGTCGACGATGTTTGTAAGTATCAGTTGGAAATTTCAAGTTTTTAAAAATTTTATAGTAACAGCTCCGTGATAGAAGACTGCGTTGTTGCACCAGGGAACAACAATCTAAGAGAAAAAGAGCGAAATCTGTGTAAACAATTATCTCACGTTGCTCAAGTGCTTCATACGTTAGCAAATATGTCAGTGAAACCAGGCCTATGTACTGACGTTACGTTCAAAAATTTGCAATACTTGTATCATTTACTTGGAAATCTTACAAAGTATTTCTATGCGAAATCAAACGATCAGAATGTAGCGTTCCAAGCAGTTAAGTATGTACTGCACGCATATCATTTCATTAATATATTTTTATTGTCTTAAATCGATAAAATCCTTACCCGTTACAGATTCATTCAAGTGGTACAGCTAGCTGGTAAACCATTAAAATCTGCTTTTTATAATTTAGTAACGTACGTCGAGGTATGTCCAGTTAGAACTTTTTATTTTTAATAAATGGGAATTGCCGATCGGTAGCATGATCAACAACAACAATAACATTTGCTCTAATGTAAATATTCTCTAAAGGAAAATCAAAACAAATTACATTCAAAGTGCGATTCATACGCGCAGCGGAATAAAATTTTAAAAGAAACAAAAGTAATACCTCGCGTAGTGTACGAGATCGAACAGTTTAATAAAGAAATATTGCTGCTTGGCAAAAGAACGGGCGTGAGTATCAAATATTATATTTACAAGTTGTCCAGTCTTTGCATTTACAAGCTTTACCTTTCGCGTATAGGTACCGTTAGAAAATTATATGAAACACAGCGTGACGAGAGATTTTCGAATTAAGAATCCACAACTGGTAGAAGGACTTGAGAAAATGGATGTGAGCTTGGTAATGAGAGCAACAGAAGATGTTGCAGCATTATATACTGCCTTTCGTAAAATTATCCTGATCGCATTTAATTGTATAGCGACAATGATACAGTGTCAAAGTATGCTTAACCTTTACAGCTCACTGCTTCATCAAACTTGGAAAACACTGAAAATGAAATGGACAACTTAAACGTGGATGATGAATCCAAAAGCAGCAGTAGTGGCGATGATGCACTACCGTTAAGAAAACGACTTAGAATCGAGGAGAATTGAGGCACACTCTTAGTTAAAAGCTCTTGGCAGCACTGTCTATTAAAATTTGTACTTTTGAAATATTTATAATAAAATTTTGTACTTGTATGTTTACTACCATAATCGCGTCTACCATCGTGTCATTTACTACCACTTATTACAATAATATTCCACGATGTACTTCTGATGTCAAGTTCTCAAACGAAATACATATATGTATTCTGGAAATCTTATCTATCCCTTTCTACGAAGCAATTGTTTAAAAGAAAAAAGAAAAGACGAACGCCTTACGCCTCGGATTTTCTGCTTTTTTTGTTACAAATATATATTTGCTGCATATTTGATACGGTTATGGTACAAAAAGCTAGCTTCTTTTTGTACCATTTACATATCTTGTTGCTGACCAGCAACATATATACCAGCAATATATATATATATGAAAACAGTGGAACTGGTAGAGGATAGAAAATTCCCAATGGATCGCAATCAACTCTGCAAAGCAATCACATTTATAATCTTATGCTACAAAATCTAGCGGTCTGTTGAATCCTCCTTTTCTGTTCATGTACTGTCTATACTTTCTCTTCAGAATAACATGCACAGCTCCTACATCATTTCCTTCAACTTTTTTGCCTTTAGTAGTGTCGAAACCACAAAAACCCATTATTCTCATCATTTCTTGTTCCTCTGGTGTTTTCCCTTGTAAATCAGCCTCTGTAATACGCTCATTTAGAAAACAGAATTACATTCACGTTCATTCATTACTTCTTTCCATTATTTGGTTTACCTGTAATTACAGGTCGTTCTGCCGTTGTAGGTTTCAGTTTAGGTTTAGGCCTGTCTCTTTCTCTTGACCTGGATCTACTGTATGAACGTCTATGCCTTTCTCGTTCACGATCGCGATCCCTTTCCCTATCCCTTGACTTTACTCGATCCCGTTCAGCCGATCTACAATTAAGCCACAATTTATATTACTATTCTCTACCGTGCAATGTTAGACAATGTTGCATTAATTGAATAAAACGTCCTAAAGGAGTACCTTCTTCTTCTTTCACGGGAGCGTCTCCTTCTCCGATCCCTGTCTCGTTCTCGTTCCCGGTCTCGTTCTCGGGATCGATCTCTTCTTCTTCCTGGTGAAGGTGAACGGCTACGTCCCATATTATACGTTACTTGCTTTTTTTACAGCTAATTAAGTTACAGCTAATTTGATAATAACTCTTCACGAATAACCGGAGGTACATGTACACACTTTTTTGTACTTTCAAAGTATTACTAGTCGAATGTATAAACTGATAACAACAGTAGGAAGGTTATGTTTACATACATTAAGCAGCGTGTTTAACACCATTGCAATATTACGCTGTTGATACCTATACATCATATATTCATGTCAAATAATGAACAATGTTGAATAGAAGCACCATTTAGGATGTAAAATAAGCCAATAATATTTTATAAAAATAAATGATTTGCTATATACGCGTAGTAAGAAACTATATATTCGTTTAAACACCTGTGACAACTGTAATCGACATTTACATATATCGTGGCATATTCGTAATTAATTCAAGATATCGATATTTAACCTTCGATAGATCGTGGTTCATTATGCTTAAACATGGAACGAATATACTTGACATTTTAAAGAGTCAAGCTATTTGTAGAGAAATGCGATGAAAAAGTCGATTTAAAAAATTCGTCGATTATTGTTCGTTACTTATTAAGTGAATGATAACCACGAGAAGTAACGCGAGTTTGCACATGAAAATATCGTATTAGATAAAGCGTGTGCGCATGTGTGCGTACATGCGTGTAAAAGTACTAAAAAAGTTGAAAAGTTCGGATAGAATTGAAGGGTACATTGCACATATCTGATCGGTAGATCAAATAAGAAAATCTAAAAATAAAAATGATGTATAAAAATTTGGAAAATACTAATAAAAAACGACGCGACATATGTATTTTTACGCCATAGAATGGCCGAAATGCGAGGATCAAAGGAAGAACAAAAATAGAACAGAGGAATTTGCATCATGAGCTTTCCGTTCCATTGGCTGCCTACGACTTGGCTTGTTGCAAGAGCCAGTTGTAGCTATGATATGCTATTTATATCCGTTTATTAGATTAAATCTCAAGTACGACGTGGCTAAAAACGTTCTCATGAAAACAATTTCTTATATCCAACCGCTTAATCTGTAGTTCGAAGATTGAGAGTAATTCGGAGATGAAACAGATGTGTGCAAAGTTGAAAGAGAAAATTCAAAGAAATTCGATTTTAAGAAATCCCGAAAAAGGAAAATAACTTTCCAAGATGACGGTTTGCAATTACTTCCCAAGTATTTCGAGATGACTCCAAGCGGAGGATATAAGAGGCCGTCGACCGTTGTTGTGTTGCGTCATTAAGTTACAATCGTTCAAAGAAGCGGCGTCCCTGCTTGTGTGTAAACGTGATCTTCGTCCACATATTTTACGCTTAGTCGTTTCGCAAACGTTCGAACGTTTAATCAAGTCTGTTGTTACGTAATTATAAAATGGTAAGAGAATCGTCGATGGTGATCGTTGAAGTCAAAGTGAAAAAAAAGAAAATATCGATAATTTAACTAAAGGGAATAGGACGAATCAAAATTGAGTAGAATCTCCATCAGCGGAACATCGAAAATGACGACGAGCCTGCCTAGATATTTATTCGGTATAAAAATTATCGCAATTTCATGTTCTTTCTTTCTTTCTTTTCTTTTTTTTTTTGTGGGTCGGCAGCAATGGCGTCGGGGGAAAGAAGGGAGGGGTTGGGGTTTGATGTTTTTGACAATTACTTCTAGAAAGCAGACTAAAAGTAGTAATAATGACGATGACGATGACGATAATAATAATGATGACGATGATGATGATTAGGAAGAGGAGGAGGAGGAGGTGAACGGGAGAATACTTGATGTTACACAGAAAGAATGTGTTGTATCGTTGTTTCAGCGCGAGTGTATATCCATTCACGTCGGTCAAGCTGGCGTTCAAATTGGAAATGCTTGTTGGGAACTGTATTGTTTAGAGCATGGAATACAACCGGATGGGCAGATGCCATCGGATAAGATGCTTGGTGCTGGAGGCGACGACAGTTTTAGTACTTTCTTCTGCGAAACCGGTTCCGGGAAACACGTACCCAGAGCGGTATTCGTCGATTTGGAACCTACGGTAGTCGGTAAGAGAAGGAAATGATTTAGGTGGGTGGTATCGACCGTTACACAGAGAGATAGAGTTTTATTATATTATTGATTGTGGTTCCATAGATGAAGTTCGATCTGGAACGTACAAGCATCTTTTTCATCCGGAACAATTGATCACCGGCAAAGAAGACGCAGCGAACAATTATGCTCGTGGCCACTATACGATTGGCAAGGAAATAGTGGACGTGGTGATCGATCGGGTACGAAAAATAGCGGATCAATGCACCGGATTACAGGGATTTCTCATCTTTCATTCGTTCGGCGGTGGTACTGGATCTGGATTTGCTTCTCTGCTAATGGAGCGTCTATCCGTCGACTATGGAAAAAAGTCTAAATTAGAATTTGCCATTTATCCGGCTCCGCGAATTTCCACGGCAGTAGTTGAACCTTACAATTCCATTCTTACCACTCACACAACCCTCGAACATTCGGACTGCGCTTTTATGGTCGATAACGAAGCAATCTACGACATTTGCCGACGTAATCTAGATATAGAGAGACCAACTTATACCAATCTGAACAGACTGATTGGACAGATCGTTTCCTCGATAACGGCTTCGTTGCGGTTCGACGGCGCGTTAAACGTGGATTTAACCGAGTTTCAGACAAATTTAGTTCCCTATCCAAGAATTCACTTTCCTTTGGTCACATACGCACCGATAATATCCGCGGAAAAAGCATATCACGAGCAACTCACGGTCGCAGAAATCACCAACGCGTGTTTCGAGCCAGCTAATCAGATGGTCAAGTGCGATCCTAGGCATGGTAAATACATGGCTTGTTGCATGCTCTACAGAGGAGACGTAGTCCCGAAGGATGTGAACGCCGCGATCGCTACCATTAAGACGAAACGATCGATACAATTTGTCGACTGGTGTCCGACTGGATTCAAAGTCGGTATAAATTATCAGCCACCTACGGCCGTACCTGGCGGAGATTTGGCCAAAGTTCAACGCGCCGTTTGCATGTTGTCCAATACGACAGCCATCGCCGAGGCTTGGGCTCGGCTCGATCACAAATTCGATCTGATGTACGCTAAGAGGGCTTTCGTTCATTGGTACGTTGGCGAAGGTATGGAAGAGGGTGAGTTTTCTGAAGCTCGCGAGGATCTTGCGGCTCTTGAAAAGGATTACGAAGAAGTCGGGCTAGATTCGACCGACGTAGACGCGGACCTCACCGACGAATATTGAGATATACTTTTTACTTTTATCCATCTTCCCCATTCAATAACTCCTTCTCAACCCTTAAAAGAATGTTTCTTCCTTGTCTATTATTTGCTGGTATTTTACTCGTGGAAATCCTTTACCCTCGCCCCCAACAATCGTTGTACTGCGGCGGCGGAGGCGGTTTCAATAGCTGGAACAATAGCGCATATGTATTACGTTGAGTAAAAAGTCCGTTCGCGTTTCTACAAAAGAATATGAAGTTTTGTTATTTCAATATCAAACTTACCTAATCAACGAAATATGTACCATTTTGTTGTATAACCTTCTCCCATCTGTTTGCTGTTGTTTTTTCATTAAAAAATTCAGGGACATGCATTTTGCCTTGGACGTTGTTAGTGATTTTTGTCCTAGCTTTGACCAAAGGCCGATCCGAAATCGAAAATGCGGTCGAGCAAATTCTTTTTCGTTAGCTCATGCGGAACCCAAACACACGTCGTGCTTGTTCGTCATTCCGAGCTTCTTCAAATGCAAGGAAACTGATTTCTGCGAAATATTTCGCATGTTTGCAATCTCTCTAGTTGTGTACCTTGGATTTTGTTCGATACAATGTCCAATTTCATCATCATCGATCGCTTTTGGCATGCCACTTCGTTTTTTGTCTTCCACATTGAACCTTTTTAATCCACTTTTCGACGGTACGTTTGCTAATAGCATCCTCACCCCATACACGTCACATAGTTTTTTATCTCATTTCTTCGACACTTTTCTTCTTTGGAAAATGAAAAAGGAATAGGTGGCGAAAATGAATACTCTGTTCGCTCGCTCTCTTTTAAACGCTTGTGACTCGAATAATACTGAAAGAGAACTGCTTAACACTGAATGCAAAGCATCTTTAGACTATCCCTAATGAGATACGTTTATTAGTTGCAGTGAAAATATGCAAGAATATCAGTTAACATTATCGACGCGAACGGATTTTTTACACAACCTAAGATATACGATATATTCGAAGAGCGGCGGTACGAAGGATAGGCAGGGGACATGGATACATATTGTATAAATGTAGATCGGTGAGAGCAGAATAGAAAAATCGTGGGATGAACGGTCGAAATCGTAATGCGAGGAAGATAATGAAATTCTTCCATTCTTTTCTCGTCAATTGCAGACGTATTTTTTCTGTCTTGTTTTATTGCATTACACAAACGGGGCTGGGGAGGCAAAATTAAATAGCGGATTAAATAGTTCAGCGCGACGCTTTAACAAATTAAAAACGTAAAAACATTAACAGTACAATATAGTTTCTTATCGTAGACGTAATGCGATGGCAGTCTTGAGTCCTGGAAAGATGCTGTGATTGTTGCATGGTTATTTCAATTTTCGATTTTCTATGTTCTATTTCCTATTATCTATTTTCGTTCGTCTCCAGTATATGCACTTTTGACTCGCTTTGCGATCTTCGACTCTTCTGTCTCGCGTTTAAATCTTCATTCGGTAATTATTCTTTTATTTGCGATAAGCTGTTGCTCGTGGCAGTGTCTGGAAATAGAAAGTGAAAACAAAATTTTTCAATAAATGGCGATTCGACGAGCTTCTCTCTCTCTCTCTCGCGCGCGCGCGCGCACATACACACACACATACACATTCTCTGCTCTATTGCTTTTGTTCGATGCGATAGAAAAACACCGACCAATAATTTTCAGAAAAACTAGCAAACAGGAAATACACATACGTTCAAACGATAATGATCAATAATACCGTGGTTATAGCGACCATGATTTATAATCTAACTGGCGACTAAAAAAGATGAGAACTAAGTTTGCTGCGTCTATGCGAATTACAATAGCGCCAGCTCTTCTACTCTAGGGAAAAAAAAAAGAAATGCTCTGACGTAGAAACCTCGAAAGCCTACCTTTCTTCTTTGAACTCCTTTTCTTAGCATTTCCAGAACACGGGAATTCACGGTATATGTCACGAGACGAAATTACTATTAAGCGTCGCCAACTGATTGTTGAACGCGACCGATAAAAAACGAGTCGTAGCCGTGATAAATTTTTCTTGCTTTATCGTGCGCCGAGTTATCATACAAATCTATTCTTTAACGAAGATTCAAAATCAAGACACGATTAATAATTTAATCAGCGATTGAAATGAACAGAAGAGAACCGATATACACGTACGTGATAGTAAGAGTAATAAAAAAAAAAAAGAAAAAAAAAAGACGGGGGGCCGGATACGAACACAAAGAATCAAATCGAATATTACGGATTTGCAAAATACATACGTACCAGAGTTAGGACTACCTACGCCTCGACTGGCTTCTTCTTTTCCTTTTTCTTCTTTAGGAAAGATGGTGTCCTGAGGCCTTTCTTCTTCTTCTTTTCCTTTTTCGGCGATTCCTCGCTAACGCTCACATCCTGCGACACGGAGCCCTTAACACGGAAGGTCCCAACCGTAACCATAAACCTTTCTGCATGCACATGCAACTTGCAAAATCTCTCTCTCTCTCTCTCTCTCTCTCTTTCTCTCTCGACCTTTCACTCGTTTCTCTTTCACCCACGCAAACGCACATGTCTCTCGCGTTCTCTTTCGTTGTCACAGATGTCACAATAGCGCATACAACGCGACACGAGCTCTCCTCTCATTCTTCTCTCCTTTGCCCCTTAGCGTTTTGCATGATCTTTCACGTGTCCACAAAAAGTAGGCCATCCTTAGATTCATGCAAGCGAACACTATTGGCGTACTAGCTTAGTCGTAGCATTAGATCACAAGAGTTAATGAAAGCAACGTTTATGCATGATTCTCAAGACCCATTCGACAACCAAGAATGAGACTGTGAAATGGAGAATACGAGAAATTTACAATTACTTTAACAGAGAAGAGTTCTTCGACTGATTCTTTTCTGTGCGTTCAACAGTGTTTACGTTCCAAGTAAATGCAATTTGTACAGACTGTATTTGATAGTATAATAGCAATAAAAACAACGATAACGTAACTTGATCGTTCAACGTCATATCGTGCTATATGCATAGATATGAACGATATCTCGTTACTGCTCCTACATTTTAAGAATCCTCCAGCTCTCTTTACTGCTTCTCGTGATTTTAAATCACGATGCACCATTATCAAAATCAGATTATACAAAGAACATTTCTTAGTGCATGTTGCAGATCAAACTCGAGGACAATGTAGTGTTTAAACAAGTATAAATGACAAACCTCTTTACTACTTTGAGAAAATGTACTGTGATGCGCATCGGAGTGATCCCCGTTTACGGTATTTTCCCCTGCAACATAAAGTACGGAGCGTTATATCGATTCGTTAGGGAAATTCATTTGCCTGTAACGATGAAGGACGAAGAAGGAGAAGAGAACAAAAACACCGCGTTAATAAACTGATGCTCCCAAAACCAAAAGCTTTTAGCATACACATTAGCGTGACAAATGTAACGAATCGTCGATATAGAAAGTCAAATATACGCTTACCTCGATATACGTATGTATGAAAATTGGACTGTGATTCTTGTTTCCCCTTCGAATGTTTCAATTGTGAAGTAGCATTATAGAACAAATCAGTTAAGAAACAATCGTTGAAATGGACAACGAAACGTTTCTTCATTTTTGGAATCTTTGTGCATCGTTACTTTTGCGAAAATGATTTATTTCTTCAATACATTTATTTTGTATACGAAACAGGTATGCGTTTCATGCGGGACAAAAAAAAAGTTAAGAAAAAGTGTAGAAAAATTTAAAAAGCAAAAACAGAGGTGTTGCAAAAGAAAGGAAAGTGTAAAAGTGGCAGCTACTCGAGTGTACCAGTCGCATGCGCGATACGATCGCAAACAATAAAAACTAAACTAAATGAACTTTAACTTTGCAGAAACAAAATAGTGTTACATGTTAACGTAGTAGTACATTACATCCTTTGAACTTTTCAACTTAATTAAAGATAAAGGAAACGAACGATTTGTAAACATACGAAAAAAAAAAAAAAAGAAGAAAATTCTTGTTCATATTTAAGAGAACATGTTAAAAAATATACGTGTATGCCTATCGTATAGGCTATTTGGAAAAGTATTTCTCTTGTTTAATTACGATAAGGCTCAACTGAACGATTTAAGCAAATTCAAGAGAAGCGTATGGTACGTGTTGTAAGCGGTGAAGACTTTCTGCATTGGAGAAAATAAACGATGTTTGATCGTTTGACGATTTCAAAATATTTTCCGGAGAAAATGCACTTTTGCTATCTTCTAAATCGCGACTAAGTAATTGTTCATCAGTGTTCATCTCATCGGCACCACAGCAGCAAGTGTAAGTATCGTTATGTCGATTTTCAGCTGAATCATTTACGCCACTATTCGTTGTCTCAGTTAAATTTTTCATCATTTTATCGGTCTCCTCTTCATCTATAGGAGATAACGAAGAACATTCTTGATCGTGATTCACTGTACAAAACTTCATACAATGAATACATTCAACGCATAATCGTGAAGATTTCGATACCTCCGTGATGTATTCGTGCGATTTAGACAATTTCATTAATTCTGGGTTTCTTCCTTCGCCACCAGCGCTCTCGAAACTTGAAGATGAATTTGTCGACTGCAATGTAAGTAAATCCGATGCGTTGGAACAACGGTAGGTGTCGTTGCCGTATTGTTTCTCGATTTTCTGCATATCCGTGGTAGAATTTTTCTCAACTCGAAAATGCAATTCAAACGCTTCATCGTCAGCATTTGTTTCTTTTCTTTTCGCTATTGTACAAAATTCGAAAACCACGTCCGCTTCTGTCATCCCGGTCATCTCAGATGGTGTTACGACCGATCGGTTATTTCCTTCGTTTCTTTTAATCAAATTCTCCTCTTCCTCTTCCTCCTCCTCCTCCTCCTCCTCTTTCTCCTTTTTCGAAGAAATAATTGGTGAAATTTCCCTTCTCTTCGATTCAATAGTTTCAGTGTTGTTCCGTGCTTCTTTCAGCTCTACGTTTACACTATTCTTTGCTTTTTTGTACCCTTCTTCTCCTCCTCTTTCCCCTCCTATCATTTCCCCCCCACTCTCCGATAATGTTCGTTGAAATTCTTCGTGTGCATCGATCACATGATAAATAATTTCGTGTACAACGAGAATAGGTGTAGTAGTGATAATAGTTTGATTAGTTTGAGAGTTGCTGTTTTCCTTTGGAAGTTGATGATGTTCGTTGCTGTTGTTGTTTGAAGTGGGTAATGACACTGCTGAAGTTGAGAATCGAAGAGAAGGGATCAAAGTTGACGACAGAGAACTACTTTTCTCGTTTAATTCCATGTTATACAAAGTATCGTAAACATTTTGTAAAATCTCATTCAGCAGATAGGAAATAGCGACGTAAGTATCGTTTAGATCGAGTGCTGCGATAATTTCATTCGCAGTATCGCTGATGTCGTTTCGAAAACATTCACCGCTTGTTTCGAACAGTTCAAGGACCGTGTCACCAGCCAGTTCTAACATGTCGAATCTTTCGTCCGAACGAACATCAGAATATTTGCCATGTGGCGACTCAATCCAAATAAAATCGTCAGTTTTTTCATCTGTGCAGCCATCCTGCTCCTGCTCCTCATCCTCCTTTTTATTCCATCGTTGATGTTTATGTTCAAAATGTTTCTCTTCTTCGCTCCTTCTCATCGTCAAAGAACAAGCTTGTCCATTCGAATTATCATCGTCATCATTGCTTTCGTGTGCCGATAGTGACGGCGACGGCGACGATTCTTTTAACATTAATTCATCGATATTTTTCTGATTCTCTGAATTCATAAATGGCGTTAAACTGTATATTAAAGTCATGTCAGCGGGATCTAAGCTGTATTTGGTTGAGACTTTCATATCGAAAGAACAGGACAAAGCGCTCGATGTTGTTTTTGATGACGAAACATTCGAATTGATACGGTTTATCATTTCAACGATCCGTTCCAATTCGGAATTTCTACTTGTTTCTTCTTTATTTCCTTCTTTCTTCTTTCCGCCGTCAGAAGAAACGATAGCGTTTTCTCGGTCAACGTCTACCAATAACACATTTCCATTATTGTTCGACTCAAATGTGTTCCGGTTCCCAGCCTTTCTCGTCGTCTCGTGCAATCCTCCTTGGCCAGAAATTACAGTGCAGTACTGAGGATTCCCTACTGAGGATTCGAAACAGTTTGTTGAAATGGTCGAAGAAGGGGGGGGGCAGTACTCGATTAACGTAGCTGTTAGACGCTCTGCGACAATATCGCTTCGGACAATTTTTAGACATGGTTCGCATCGATACCGTTCATCGAGAACTTGCCAATTACGATGTTTACAATCAACGCAGACTTGGTGGTCCTTTTCGTCACTCTCGTCGTCATATTCACGTTCGCTTTGACTGCAATACCTGCCAGATGAATCACGATCTGCAACCACATGGCCCACAACTGTAAATACCACAACTGTGTTTTCACGTTTACTCCATTTTCTCGTGATCTACCTTCTTTCTCGTCGAGACAGAAGGTACTGAGTTGCTTATGATCACGGATGCTCACACCTGCGTATCGGAGAAACTCGTTGCATTCGCGATTGTTAAGTAAGTTGACAAAGTAAAAGTGTCTTAAAAAGTACTAATCAGTTGGTCACCGATCCGTCTAATTGTAAGCGTCTCATGTGTCGGTAGTATTCACTGTACACGCACCTTCCTCCTGCTGTCTTTAGACGAGGTCACACGACGATTCGTAACTAACGAAGGAACAGTATAGTTCGATACGAGGCAATGATTGACGTGCGTTACGGGATTTAAACAAGTCGTTAGAGTGAGAGGGAAGAAAAAGGAGGTGGAACTCGTAAAAACGGAACAAGTTCTGTATAGCAGGCGGGCATGAATATGTGTGTAACACACACGTGTATTTGTGGGGACATGCGAATAGAATACACGGGGATATGCAGGCAGGCATGCAAGGTGCAAGCGTTGGTGATCATAAATAAGGAGATACATATGTATAATAACAACAAGAATGAAGGTGGAAATGTGGAAAGCTGGCGTGTGAAATGCCTTGAATAGAAAAAAGGAAAACAGAAGAGTTTCCACGCTTAAATATGTACATATATGTATATTATGACATTCGTATGTCGCATGCAGCAAACCACACGCGTTCCTTCCTTTATTCTCCCAAAGGATTCTCTTCAGACACGACACAATGATCGCGAGATCGAAAATTAGGAAAAATAACTTACCATCGCTCAATACAACTTCGGGTTGACTTGGTGCAGGCACTTGTTTCGTTTCTATTCGCAGTACTCGGGGTTCTATGGAATGGTCGAAGAAACACGATACATCGAACAAACGATTCTTTTTCATTTTCGCTGGTAAATGATTCGAAAGGAAAAACAAAATGTTCGACTGTCAACTGAATCGTAACTCACCATCCCGGCTTTCTTCTTCGGTTTCCGACGTTACCGATACCGGCGATTGAATTGGACTTTTGGCAGTGCTCGATTCGTGTGTTGCGCGACTAACGTTGAACGATGACAACGGCTCCGATTCTGACTGCGACTCGTCGTCTTAAAGGTTACATTATTATATTATTTCATCAAGCAGCTAATAAACCGTTTATTGATCACGCGCCACTTCACACGCCTTATACACTTACAAAGATCTCCTTTTTGTTTGCGTTCCACTTCTTTCTTGTATTGATCGAGTTCTTGATCGGTAACAGCATCGAACGGATTTTTGGCATACGGTGTCTTGTAGACCATTGCGTTGTGCTGAAAGCCTCTTTGAATGATACCTTTACTGGCTGCCCCTACCAATACTACCTGTTCTCCTGTTCCACTAATAGTGGCATCCTTCAAAGAAAATTCTTTCGTCAATTACACATATCTATATAATAATGCAAGCTGTTGCAATTTTCAAATTTCACCAATTACAGTAATTAAGGATGCCGACGGTTTCAACATTACCTGCATCTTCTTAGCTTCCTCCCACGTAACTCCTTCCAATATGTGGGATTGTGGTCCAGCCGATATCTTGTCTGCTCGACGATAATCTTTTATCTGAACAAAAGAAAGGACAGCTCCAAAGGTTCAACGATCGGTTTCCACAACACACCATATCATCATGCTCTCTTCTACTTAACTACTTTAAACAACCTTCGCTATTCTTTTTTTCTTCTTCTATATTATAATACTTAAAAAATAGTCAGCATATACATATGCCTATCAACACGACAATTTCTCATGTTACTTACCTGTTGTTGTATTTGCTTAAATTCCTTTGGATTGGTATTTTTCGGCACGAATTGAAGGGCACCGTCGATCTTCACCGGTGTACTGCTATGGGTCGGAGAGCCCTCTGACACCCACTGCACACAAAACCAGAACGTTAGTCGACCCTCATCGATAATTTAACATCCGACACAGCATCGTAAAATATAGGTTTTCGCATTATCTGCGTATGTTATGTGTGCCTGCTTTGCTGGTGATGTAGTCGTATTATCATTTCCGTTAACTTGCGTACGCAAGCAGCACGTCGTTGATGCCGCAACGTTGTAAATTCTTCGTTCGTTCGTTCGTTCGTACGGATCGAAATCAAATTCTAATTTTTCGACTAACTTTTCACTAACGTCGTTCGTTCTTAAAATATTGAAAAATTGAAAAATGAAAAGAAAACGGAACAGAATTTTGTGTTTAACGTTTCTACATTTACTCGTCAATCGCGATTATTTTTCGAGAGTGTTTCACATCCCCCCGCTCTCTCCATCTTTCTTCCACTCTCGCTCTTTCTCCTTCTCTTTCTATCGGTCTAAAGGGTCGATCGATCTGGTTTTGTAAATGCAGTGGGACGAAGAATCGAATATATCCATCACTTCGACGACACGATATGAACAGGCACACATTCATACACAGTTACGAATGTGAATCAGTCAAATTACGATGCCCACAAACGTCGTGTGGTTAATTTAAGTTCGATGCTCATGGAGCAACGTTAAAATGCCACAAACTCGAACAAAATGCTCGAGAATACAGCTATTATTGCTCACCGAACTGAGCATCGAATTCTAAATTTCCGAAACAATTAAGTATCATTCTGTTTCTACCTTTTCTACCTGTATGTATATGTATGCATCATGCATACATACATATGTATATATATTTATTTATTTATTTGTATATTCTTTT